AGACAGCTCTCTCTCTCTCTCTCTCTCTCTCTCTCTCTCTCTCTCTCTCTCTCTATATATATATATATATATGGTTCAGCCTCCTGATGAGTCGGTGAAACTCCGACGAAACAGTTTGTCACAGCCCCTCGTTTGTTGTCCTCTTCTCTCTCTCTGCCTACGGTTTTACCGGGCAGTTCTGTTTGTGACGATATATATATATATATATATCAGGAGGCAAGCACCCGGAACAGGTCCGTGAAAATCCAGCGAAAAGAGGGGGAAAAAAAAAGAAAAAAAAGGGAGAAAAATCCTTCTCTGTGGGTATACTCACTCACTCCAGGACTTGTGGAGTCAGCTCTGGCCGTATCTGCCGACAGATCCATCCAGCTCTGGCCGCAATTGCGGTCAGGTGCATGGAAGATAGTCGTAGTGCGCGGGTATACCCCGTGTCGAGGAGCCCCAGTGCGAACATTATGCTCTTTTTTTTTCCTTTTTTTTTCAAATTGTTTGTTTGATTTATGCTCATTTTGACCTCGTTTGGCACCCACCCACCCTCACTCATTCCTTGTGGTGACGAATCCAGGGCCTAGTTGCATACCAGTGGCCATCCCCCAAGATTCGGAATGCATCAGACGTATATCCTGTCCAGGTGCATTCGAAATGTTGGCGGATGGCGTAGTGGTTCAACCAGGTCGTCAGTGCATACTCACACCACTAGCACTTTCCAAAATGCATCAGACCGCAATTTCGGCCACACCTGTATGCATCGGGCCGCAATTACGGTCAGGTGCATGGAAGATGTAAAAGTGTCCTAGTGTGAGTATGCCCTCAGTCAACGAAATGAACCTGGAAGGAGCATATGCTATTTTTAGGGCCCGACTGACATGACACGGGAGGGAACGGAGAACGCAGCCACTCTCCGCTCCCTTCCCCTCCACCCCCCCCTCCCTCCCCTCTCTCCCCGGGGCCAAGTCCCAAGCGTTGAGCTAACTCAACGCCTGAATCTGGACGTGTTTGTGGAGACGTGCAGTTCAGGAAACTCAACACCATTTCTGCACATCTCCGCAATAGCGTCCAGATTCAGGCGTTGAGGTAGCTCAACGCTGCTGGTGGGACTTGGCCCCAGGGGATTCACGCACATAAAGGGGGCCCCAGTCGACTGCGACTGCATCTGACCGTACATCCCTCCACGCAAGTCCCCATGTGAATGCAGGCCTCGCTTCACTGCAGAACATTCCAGAGGTATCTGGATCCAAACCGGTCCGGATACACTCAAAATGTCGGAACCGTCAGCCCAGAAAAAAATGTCCAGTACTGGAACGCGGCCCTATGGCGTGTCGCGACCAAGCATCCAAGTGGAGGCGAGTTTTCCTTTTACCCCCTTCTCTCGGGACAAGATTCGCATTGATTTCATCCTCTCTCTCTCTCTCTCTCTCTCTCTCTCTCTCTCTCTCTCTCTCTCTCTCTCTCTCTCTGTGTGTGTGTGTGTGTGTGTGTGTGTGTCTCTCTCGCATCTTGCAGGGACTACCGTTTTCCCCTGTGAACACAACACACCCCCTGAATATGGCTGTACGCAGTGTACGGAACCGGAAAGATAGCTTGTATGCATTCATTTTCAGCGTGCGTTGTGTTCGGGGGAAGATGGTAGTATGGAATCGCATCGCAAGAGATAGCATAGCACAGCAGATCGGGAAAAACACACAACCCAAAAAAAAAAAAAAAAAACAATAACAACAGCGTAACGTGGCATTGCACAGCGCGCCCTAGCATCGCAGAAAATAGCATGCAGTGTCCTCTCTCTCTCTCTCTCTCTCTCTCTCTAAAAATACGTACATATATACAAAAAGGGCGCTGTTCGTAGTAATTTTTGTTCGATGCTTCTGGCCCGTGATCCGCCCCAGAATGGGAAGGAGAGAATGTTTAAATGGTGGAAAAAAGAGAGAGAAAGAACGGACGTGCCGCGATCCAGTCCGCTATGAACACACACACACACACATATACATATATATACTCTGTTTGACGATATATGAGTACGGTGCGTGCGCGGGTTCGTCGAAACAGGCTGTCATGCCACAAGACTCACGACGTCAGGTTTTTTTTTTTTTTTTTTTTTTTTTTTTTTTTTTTTTTTTTTTTTTTTTTGTTCCGACAGTTTCTCAATCTGTCAGAGGCTGTCCAGTCAATCTTGTATTAGGCCAAAAATTTAAAATTAGAAAAACAAACAAAGCTCACAAAGCCCTTTTGACAAATTGTCCGTGAGGAGGGGAGAGGAGGACAAACATGGTTTAGTATATGTATACACACATATATATCATCGAACAGATACACACACGCACATATATTTTTATATATTATATATACACAGAGAGAGAGAGAGAGAGAGAGAGAGAGAGAGAGAGAGAGAGAGAGAGAGAGAGAGAGAGAGAGAGCTAATTTTGGGCAAGGTTCTACCTAGTACCTGCATTTCTCATATCTAACTAAGTCTTCAGAAACAAAGGATCCCTTGGCCTCGGCTGGGATCTTGCCGCGTGGGCAAATTCTGCTACTCGTCCACCATACACTTCGATTGCACAGAGAGACTGGGCCTCGCCACTCGGCACACGAAAAGAAACAAAACGAGTGCGTCTGCCCACGAAAGGCGGCAATATACACTCGTTACTATTTATAGCAACCCGTTGGACCTGTCCACTTTCTGTGGGAAGATCCACTCGTTCCGCCGTTTTTCGTTTCGTGTGCTGTGCTTCGGCGCCCACTGTCTCGAACTCAGAATCTATTTTCACACGTATTAAGCTAAGTGGGACGTTGCCCCCTCTTTCTTTCTTTGCCCCCTTGTGTCCATGTGTGTGTGTCTGTGTGTGCATCTCTGTGTCTGTGTGTGTCTGTGTGTGTCTGTGTGTGTGTCTGTGCGTGTCTCTCTCTCTCTCTCTCTCTCTCTCTCTCTCTCTCT